AGACTCTGAGTCCGGGTGGGTACGTGGAGACTTTAGAGCTGAGACCGCGGCGACGCTGATTGGCTTCTCTAGACATCCGACACCCAATGAGAGTGGGACCTGGGACGCGTCACGAGTATCCTGGAGGAAGGACCCGACACAGGTTGGGAGAAGAAGTGAAATTAGGGGAGTGGGGAATCTCCAACTCTGCGCCTCCCCAAGGCGGACAAGGCCCGAGACCCTGAGGGCCACGCCCGGGACCTGGGACTTCGTCCTAATCCCTCTTCTCCTACACCAAGCCTCTTTGTCACACTGTCTGCCTGAGTCCTGGACAAGGATCTGTCTGTGGAAACCAGGGAGAGACCCCCCAGGCCGCGCCCAGCCCCTTCCCCTTCACTGCTCGTCCTGGAATCCCTGACCCTGAACTGGACTCCCTGCCTCCCACTCCTACCTCTCCCCTTGGACCTTTGTACAGGGAAACTGACCACGGGGAACTTCATGCCGGAGTGAGCTCGCCCTGGGAATGGAGGTGGAGAGACAGGGGTTTTCTCTCTAAACCTGGTGAAGTTTTGTCTGAAGGCACCACACAGAGATTCTCATAGAGACCAGTTTCCTTTTTGTTTATTAATACAGTAGGTAGCACGATGTTGGTAATCCCTGAATGATTAGAATTCCAATTTGTAAAAGACCTGTGTCAAAACAGCATTACAAAGCTCCTAAGTTTTACTTTCCCAGACTATGGATCTGTGACTCTGGCTTGTTGCATTTAAAATTACCTTCATTCCTTAGCCCAAGTTTCCCTGTGTGAGTCCAGAACATCTCTTGAATACAAAGAAGCAGGGTTTGTTACTGTCTCTTGCAACCCGGAGGCTGTAGTCATCACCTCAAAGTTCCGAGTGCTGCATGCAGACCCAATGCTCTTCACCGACGTTCAAGCACTGTCTGTTTTCCTGAGCTCTGCACATCTAAGCAGCGGGCATATTTTATCTGGACACTTGGCGTTTTTGTAACTCTTTTTTTTTTTTAATCATAAGGAGCCAATTCGTTTTTAGGAAGTCCAACAAAATGTATTGAATATGGAATGCAAAGAACCCCCTGCTAGGCTCTTCCACTGCTTTAGAATTCTTTCCTCTCTCCTTTTCCTCACCTCCTGCTTCCCCAGCCCTTCTCTCTGCCCCTCTCATCCCTCACACCCTCCTCTCCCCTTAGTCCCTGCCACCCTGTCACTCCTGAATTGTGGCACTAACACTGTCCCTCACTTCCTGCCCATGTCTGTTCTCCCCACAGTGCTCAGCGGTCCTGCTAACGTGAGCAAGGTCCTGTCATTTCTTCACTTACAATGGTTGGATTTTGGTCTACAATTTTGCTAAATGTTTTCAATTTGTCTCATATCTTTTTGTTTCTGTTCCTCCTTTGCTACTTTCTTATGTGTCAAATAAACAGTTTTTAGTTTATAGTTTTAATTCTCCTAGTGGCTTTTAGCTATATTTCTTTACACTAGTTTTTTATTGTTGTAAGAATGGAAACCCAATTTCTTGACTTCTCACAGTGAAGTTCAGGTTCTATTAAACTACATCCGGCAAAATAAAGGATACTTGTAACAGTGTAGTTTCATTTAACCTACCATTATGCTATTACTGTTTTATATATTAAGTCAACCTATATTATAAACTCAATGATACAGTGCAGCCATATGTCTTCAGGAAATTAACAAAATGAGTGTGAATGTGACATGTGTGTGTGCATCATTCCTGTTGTTAATTGCTCCTTTCTGTATATCTGGGTCACCATCTAGTACCATTTCCCTTCACCCTGAAGAACTTCCTTTCAAATTACATATAGTACAGGATCCCTAGGATATGAATTTTATGGTTTTGATGATCTAAAAAGTCTTTATTTTTGCCTCTCCGCCCCCCCCTTTTTTTTTTTTTTTTTTTGTTTTTGCTTTTAGGGCATTTACGTGTAATAAAATTCATCAGTTTTAGCTGCGCTTTTTGGTGAATTTTGGTAATTATTTATAGTTGTGTAACTACCACACTGCCCAGTACAGAAACACCGAATGCAGAGAACCCCCTGCTAGGCTCCTCCACTGCTTTGGAATCCTTTCCCCTGCTCCTTGTCCTCACCTCCTGCTTCCCCAGCCCTTCCCTCTGCCCTCATCCCTCACACCCTCCGAGAATGAGATGGGCTGGGCACGAAGGGTTTTTGTTTGTTTGTTTGTTTTCTATGAATGAATGTAACTTTTTATTATGATAGAGTTGTTTTATTAAAGAAATAGATGAAAATGCTTAAATAAAATCAAATGGCTCTAAAAGTCTTAAAATGAAAGCAACAGTCCTGCCAGTTGTTCTCTCCAGAGACAAGCACTTTTCATTCTCTCAGCTTTTCCTTCTGGTAGCTGCCTTCATGGGTTTTTCCAAATTATTATTTTTTCAGTTTTTCAAGTGGGTGCATATATTAATACATGTAATTTTTTAAAGCCTCTTCTGTTTATAATGCATCCTAACATTTCCCTGCCTCGTCCCTCCTAATCTTTCAAAGCAATGACTTTTAACTCTTTTAGCAATGTCTTCTTTCTCCTCACATAACTACTTCGTCATTTCTTCATTATTTTATACATTTTATGTGATTTCTTGAATGACAGATGAGGATTTAGCTCTTACACCATCACTATCTTCACTTTTCCTCCCATATTGTCCCAAAGTAGTTACCAGAGTTAGGGGCTAAGCAGTCACTGCATCACTATGACTATGTACATATTGCTCATTGTTGAGAAAAACAGCGTAATATGCTCTTACTTCCTATCTGGTACTTCCTTCTGCCCTAGAATTAATGATTGCCTAATCCCCTTCCCCCTTGTTTTTTTCACTTTTGCTTTATCTTCAATGAACTTCTTTCCAAATGCCCCAAATCTGGCAATATCGTATTATTATTTTTAAGAGAAGGGACCTCACTATGGTGGCCAGGCTGGTCTGGAAATGTTGGACTCAAGCCAACCTCTTGCTTTTAGCCTCCTGAGTAGCTGGGACTACAGACATGAGCCATTCCACCCAGCTAATCTATTAATATTTTTACTGTTTTTTGTTTTCTTTTTAAGCCAGCTCCATAGCTGGAATATTTCCTGTGTTGGATCCTATTTGCTGGATCCATGTCATTCTCTGGTTTGTCTCCTCCTTCATTTTGCTGGAGTATTTTCTCCAATAGCTTCCCAAGAAAGGGTCCATGGAGGTAACCCCTGAGTCTTTGCTTGCCTAAAAATGTATGATTTTACCTTCACCCTTGATTATTTGGCTGAGTATAGATTTATCCGTTGAAAATCACTTTCTTTCTAGAATTCTGAAGGCATGCTTCCATTGTTTCCAGCTTCTTTTTTGAGACAGGGTCTCTTCTGTCACCCAGGCTGGAGTGCAGTGGCACAATCACAACTCCCTGCAGCCGTGACCGCGCGGGCTCAGTTCATCCACCTCAGCCCCTGAGCAGATGGGACTACAGGTGGGCGCCACAATGCCCAGCCAACTTTTGTATTTTTTGGAGAGATGGGGCTTCACTATGTTGCCCAAGCTGGTCTCAAGGGATCTGCCTGTCTCTACTTCCCAAAATGCTGAGCCAATGTGTTACAGGCGTGAGCCACTGTGCCTGGCCAGTTTTTCTTTTATTCTCTCTCTTCTTCCTTCATTTCTCAAAGGCATCTCACACTCAGTGGGCCCCAAACCAAAGTCAAACTCCATC